AATGTGATGTTTCTTTCTATTAAAATCTTACTATTATCTTATTACTTACCAAGTCTTACTATTTCTAGTAAGATTTTCACTGAGAGATATTTGACTATGTTGTGTTGAATTATTAGCTTGCTAAATTGATATTGTTTCCAGATAATAATGTTTCACAGAAAATTCATCCTGTTTGGAGAAGAAAAAGTAAGGTTTCTTGTAAACGTATTGGTTTTATGAACGGTATTTTCATTTTAAGTTCTCTCTGGTTTTAAATTTTATGGAGTAATAACAAATCTCTGTGTGGGTTTGTTTCCCACAAGTCTTGTTACAAAAGTGATTAAACACAGGGGCACTGCAGTTCAGTTCCCACCTGTTAAAGTTTAATCTTTAGCCACTTAGTTGTTGTGTGACATGCTTTGGACTACTAATGCTGTAAAGCCACATGGCATCTCTTAAAATTAATTTGTAACAAGCTAACAGAATACATCTGAAACACCAGGTAGAGGCTGTTAATGTGACTAATTACTGCCTCGGGCTCAGCTCAGGTGAAGGCTTGAAGAGCTTGTGGTTAGACCTTGCTGGTTTGCAGGATGCTCTTGGGAACTGAGAGCTTCAGATAAGGCTGCTTTCTATGGCATTTCTTATTTAAAAAACCAAAATAAAAACTCAACAAATCTATTAACAACTTGTGATACAAAAGACCAGTGGAGTCCAAAATCCCAAGAAAGGAGTTCCAGTTCAGAACAAAGGTGCTAGATCAGGATCCATTACAAAGGGTCCTGGATAAGTATTCAAAGTGAAGATTATGGTAGTAGTTATTGGATTCTGATAATCAGAGTCTTAGAATAACTCATTAAAAAAATCAAGCAAATTATGATGGCACCATTATACCTTTTGCAGCAGCAAAAATATTGTGTACAAGTTATTGGGCAGTATTAAGTCCAGTGAGCTGATGTGTGGTGAGAATGCTTAGAGATGCTGTGCAATGTGGACCATTTAAAAATTTACATCTTTTTCTTGTGCTGAAAATTTTATTTATCTTGGGACTTGAGAATATAATTTAGTGTTCTGTTTTTAAAGCCTGGAGATATTGGGACGGAAGTTCTGCCTTCCAGAGTGCTCCAAATGAAAGCAAATTTTAGGGTTTTTTTTTTTTCTTATTTAGAAGGATATAACATGGAACCTTATTTCAATGGGACTATATTGATATTTTCTCCCAGAGTATCAAGTCTTGGGACTGCATGGCATGGTGGAGCTCCTGCATGGCACTGAGGCCAGCATGGAGCAGATGCCATGTCCAGGCAGCTGGGATGTTTGCTTTAGTTGCATTTCCAAAACTTGGTCCAGAACACTGCAAATGTACACACATGTGTGCCAAACCTACAGGAGACTGAAAGAACACCCTGGCAGCCTGACTGCTTTGGCAGCAGGGCTGTTTTGTGGCTTTTCTTTTTGGCTGGTTGCTCTTAATAATTTTTGTTCTGTGAATTTGTCCAACAAGATAACCCTCCTATCAAAATCATAGCATTTGGTTATTTTTGAATTTGCCAAGAGCCTGGTACCCAAAGAGGCACCTCTGGGAGCTGTTTGTCTGATGGTGCCTGCAGCAAGATGAACAGCTTCTTTTAAAGTTCTGTCCAAATATTCAAGCCCCCTTGGGAATGAAAGAGCACACATTGCTGGGGACAAATATAGAACTTCTTATCAGAACTCTGAATCACACTCTGGCCCCAGAGGAGCAGAGAAAGACTGATGGTCTAACTCCAAGAGACATTTTTTGGGTAAGGGCTGTACTCAGATGGGTTCTCTGTAGCTGGAGGTTTCTTCTGGAATTGGGAGGTGCTGTTGCCCAACACCAGGGAAACTGCACAGGAAGGTCGTTCAGTGTTCCTCTCTTGTGTTTGTTTTCTGCAGTAAAGCTTGATTACTCAATTGGAGTCCATCTTGTGCAGCTATTAGGCATAAACAGAGATGTGAAAACCGAGAACAGAATATGTGAAAGGACACAGTCTAAAATTCAGACACAAAAGGAACAGTGATAAGGTGCACCCCAAGATGCCACTGCAGAGCTGGACTTGCTGGAGAAGGCAGAGGTGAAGTTGTGCAGTGAGTCTGGTAAAGCAGCCAGCCAGGCCAGCTGAGCACACACTGCCAACTGCAGTTCTCATCCACGGGACACAAAATTATTATTGCTGCTGAACAGCTGAAACAAACTGAAAGCAAGGTGGCAACAGTGCCATGAAGTAGTGCACGCAGTAATTCTGAGACACTCCACCACGCTCAGAGCCCTGTGCATATTAAGCAGCCCAAACCAAGCACAGATAATGGCACAGTAAAAGCACCAGGCATGGCTGCTGATTCCCTCTGAGCTGCCTGTTGCAGATTCAGGACACAGCATCCTGATGGCACAAGGAGAGCTGGCTGATCTCTGAGCAGGACACTGCTGGATAAGAAACCACATAATATGTGACCTAGAAACAACAATGTTTTTCCACCCAGCCTTGGAAAACATAAAAGCAGAGCTCTTCAGGCAAGGGATAGCAACTAGTGCTTCCAGAAGAAACGAGGAATATTAAAATTGACTTTTTTATGCTTCGGCTCAGCTTGAGAAAGTATCTTGCTGTGCTCTTTTTGCTGTTTTATGGGGTTTTTTGAGTTTTGGTTTGTGGTTGGATTTTTTTTTTTTTGAAGACACACCCCAAGACTGTTATTAGTGGAAATACAGGGCTCAGTTTCTAAGAGAAGCAGAGACCCTGCTAAACACTCTATAAACTGGAGAGTTGTTCTGTTGTCTGCTGCCACACTTTAGTATTTGCAGAGTCATGGCGAAATTTTGACAAGTACAAATTATATTACTGACAGATGGAATTGTTTCTGTTTAAGGACAGATGCTTTTTATACAGCTTTTATTTAAAACTATGGATTTTTTGAATGCTTTTTAAATGGAAATTTAGAACAGCAAATTACCACTTTGCTCATTAAAATGTGTTTTTCTCAGACAAATCTATTTTTCAAGAACTTCATACATTTATGCAACATTCCATGTAAGTAAATTAATTACATAGCCAGCTTTTTTATGATATTCAAATATCATTTGGGGAAAAGAAACAGTTCCTGAAATAACTCCAACAATCCTTGGACATATTTTTCTTACAGATGCATAGGTCTCACTATCCCTTTTAACAACAAAGATATCACAGCAAAATTCTTAATGAAAAATTTTTAATTTTTAATGAACATTTTAAATTTTTTTTGTAGTTTCTATAGTAGGACAGAAGCACGGTCTGAAGGAAACTCACTCCACCATTGAGCTATGAGCAGTGGGATGATAAATGAAAAAACAATATGGATTTATCATAGTTGGTGTCTGGGCTTCATCTCCCAAGACACTCTGTGCCATGAGTTGACTGCCTTGGAGCTTGGTCTCCAGCACCTAAATGGAATTCTGGTGGATGTCAGCTCTCAGTACCACAGCAGAAGGTAGCCAGATGCAAATGCCAACTTTGAAGGTGGTGTGCTGCATCAGAAAGGAAAATTAAGTAAAGAAAACATTTCAGATAAACTGAATTTTTTTTTTAAATTGGATATTTTTTGTAAGAAGTTTCTTTTTGGTTTTCCTGAAAATTTATTTAAAAAAAAAAACAACAAAACTTTCACTGCAGAGAAATGTTCAGTTTTGGGGATACAACGCTTTTTCTTTATGGGGCTACTCAGGAAAGCATTTCTGTCTGGCTCTCAAAATGCTATTTATCTCAAAATTATAATTGTGTCCCTGGTACATGATTAAGTCCAGTAACATGGCTTAGGTAGCACAGTTATTTGTCACCATCCCTGCAGCAGAAGAAAGATGCTTTTATGAATTTTAGCTGACATGAATGATTGCATGGCACACATGAGAAGCCCAAGATCAGACTGAAAAACTGCTGGCAAATTTCATTAGAATGGGAAGGTGGCTAGGTGTTCTACTATCTTTCTTGATTTTGTATAATAAATGTGGGTTCATGTTGTTGGTTTTTTGGGCTCTTTTTTAATATAAACCACAACTTTTGCCTGGCTATGCTTAACTTCAGTGAGATCAGCCACCTCTGTTCTTCAGGGAAAAAAACCCAAACCAAAACCACTCTCTAGATCTAACTAGGAGGACCCAATCAAGGGCTAATATTAACTTTCCACCACGAGGAAAGCAAAAATCAACAGAGCTGTGCCATGAGAAACACCTCAGTTGTGAAGCCCAAGCTCACCTCTGTGTGGACAGTAACTCATCTTCCTGTGGCTGTCAAAGGTTCCAGCAGGACACAGGGCTAAAGCCCAGCTTTAAAATGCATCATTAGGGTAATTTCTAACATGTAGGTAGTGTTTACCAGAACATAAATATATAAAAGATAAAGCAAGCATATGAAAGATAAAACCCACAGACAATTAGTTCAGCTGGGCTGCCTGAAAGCTAAACATTTGCAAAGAGATATATGGTAAAGCCAGTAATTTCAGACCACAGCAAATGAAAATGGGATTTATAGGTTTAGAATTGCCATCTCTCATCCCTTTGTGTTGACTTTTATGGGTGCAAGGAGCAGGTACTGGAGCTGATGCAGCCTCAGCAGTTAATTGGTAAAGATAAAAAAACACAGGTGGCATGGAAGGGAATTACAGTAATTGCCAGAGGGAAAGGTGAGACAGGTGATGGTGATCATTTGATGTTTTCTGGGCAGGAGTGGTTTTGCTTTCTCTTTCCCCCTTTCCCTTCCAACTCTCTACTTCTGATGGCACAAGACACGCTGAATTTAAAAAAATAAATGTTGACCAACAAGCTTAGTACAAGACAGAGGAAGGTGGCCCTAGCTGCACAGTGACCCTCTGGCCCTGACCCAGGCTCTGGCTCCACAGGTGAGCAACCCCTGCTAACAGCAGAAACCTGATCTTTTCATGTTTCTTTTTCAGAAACATGGAAACCAGATCTTTTCTGATAATTTCATCAGCTGCCATTACTTTCTCCTTTTAGGAAACTCAGCTTTTCTTCAGGGAACGTGGGGCCAGCTGCTGCTGGTGAAGTGTTTGCAGGATTCAGGGAAATCTGGGCCTTTTTGAGCCACTATTTCCCTGTTGTTCAAGCTCATGAGCAAGCTCCAGTTGAGTTACTTGCACTTCTTGGACCAGGTATTCTGTGTAGCAGCCCAGGTGCCATACAGATGGTGAGTTTGATCTTTTAATGTGAGCTTTTATAACCTTGATGGTATTTTTAGAGCTGTTGTCTTACCTCTGATCTCAAGTGGATGTTATTTTATCTCTTCTTTAGGACTGGGGGAAATGCAAAGTCAGTGTAATGTGCTTTCATTCTTGTGCCTTGTAAGAGAGATTCTAGAGAACAGTTTTCAAGAGCACTTCAGCTCTTATTCCTTGTGTGTACTATACTCAGGCTCTTTATAGAGGATACGCTTTATTTTCTTTTGCATTTACACATTGGGACAGCTCCAAGGCCATTAAGAATGTTTTTAATTCCAGAGTGATTGAGGTATTTTTCCATCTATGTTGAATACTGTGTCTTTTGTCTGAGAATCTGACTGATGTAGCCCTTTCTGCTTGGGAATATTAAATATACTTGGAAGCAGATAGGTTGTATTAACTGAAGCTTTTTCTCATCATTGTCATTAGATTTGCTAACTCTGAGGTTTTCAGCAAAGTCTGAGATGTTGGTCTTGCTCTGAGATAATTTGATAATTGACTGATCTTTTTCATACCAGTTTGATTTACAAATGCCCAAGTTGAATTTTCTTAAATTTGAGAGGTCCTATGAGCATCTGTGGACTTTGGAAAATTGCTTCTGGTCTCATGGACTTGTTTTCATTTAAGATATCATCAGCATATTTGAGGGGGATATTTTCTGCTGTCTGTCTGCAGGAATATCAAATGTGCCCAGAGCACAGAATAAATGCTTGCAAGTCTTCTATTGAACATGAATGAGAGAAAGAAGTAATTGTAAATGAAAATGTGCAAAACAAATTATGTTTCTCAATGCAACTGGAACTATGCTTAACGTTCAGCTTCTCTTCCTCATTATGGAGAATAATCAATACATACAATACAAAGTCTAGAAGCAGTGAATTTAGTGATGTAGGATGAGGGATCTCATGAGTAGTCTTTTCTTTGCAAAGAACAGCTCTATGTAACTTTTGACAGTCTTTGCATTTCTAAAGAACAAATTGGAAAAATCTGTGTGGAAGAAAGTGTCTTTGAAGTGCTCAGCTACAGTTTATTTTTTTTTCCTTTTTGTTTGCAAGCTCAAAAACAAAATTCTAAATCATGCCATAATTTCCTTTTCTGTTCTATAGAAAAAAAAAGAGAATTAAAGGTTATGAACTTTTTGCTGTTAATTAAAGGAAGCAGACAGATATGGTCTGAGGCAGAATCCCCAGAAGTTCTGAGATGATATATGTGTCTGTTTACAAGCTTGTAGCTGGTCTCCACCTATGAAGTGGGATGGCAAAGAACCCTAAAAGTAACCCTAAAAACAACCATCACCCCCAAGCATTGTAGATGATTGGCTCAGGCTTTGACCTACACAGAACTGTAAATATAAAGCCTGGTAAATATAAAGGCCTACAACTGGATCCAGGAAAAAAGTTGTACACAAAGTTCAGTGGGACTTAATTGTCAGCTTTGATCATGGGGTAGAGGCTACATTATTTTTCTCCATCTCTTACATAAGTGCACTTTCAGAAACCTCACTGCCTGTGTCTTGGAAGTGAGCAGGGTCTATTTTACTCTGCAGCTGGAGTGGAATTATTTCAGGAGACCTCTGGTCTGGTTTTTGGTTTAGCTCAAAAGGAACAGACTCAACCCAGTGGCATTTCTCTGCATGTCTGCAACGCAGCAGCTTCTGAACATCACACCCAAATGCTTCTGAGACTTCAGGGCAAGTTCTAGGTTTGACCTTGGTTTCACAGAAAAGTAATAAAATGGGAGACAAGAGCAGCTGCTTCTTTCTCTCAAATACAGCCGCAGTTGGAGTGGTTTTGGATCAGAGGCCTGGGAATGGCTCCTGCACAGCAGGGCAGAAATGCCCCCTCCTCCTGAAGTTGTTCAGGATGGTGTTGTTCTGATGGTCTGCCTCCTACAGAAGTGTTGGTGATGGGAAATGGGGGGACAAAAGGGAGATGTGAGAATGGGTGGAGGAGTAGTTTGTGTAGTGAGAATATCCTGGGAAAGAAAAAAAACCAGCTCAAACATCAGCAGGGACAGGAACAGCACACAGGAGCGTGCACAGCCAAGGAAAGAGGCCTCTGTTACTGGGGACAGGTGGGTTCCAAAAAATGAAAATTTCTCTGGTCCCTGTGGACCAGAAAAAAGTGGAGATTGAGCTGCCAGGAACGAGGGAACGCTGGGGCAAAGACCTGCAGGATCCTGCTGTGCCAGAGACCAGGAGGTGCTGCTGGGGGGAGGAATTTTGCACGTTAACTGGGAGAGGGAAAGAGACAGAGATGTGGAAGACACAGCACCTCTGGGGAGGGGGAAGGAGGCTTTGTAATAAAAGTTGGTTTGGACAGATGGGGAGTGTGGAGGAGAGGTTTGGGAGGAAGGAAAGAAACCTCTCTGGCATGCTGCAAGCTCAGCCTACAGAAGCTACAGAGTGTGTGACCCTCTTGTTAACTTCATTTCACAATGTTCCCTGCATGCTTTGTGTGGCTTCCAAGTAATGCATGACATCAGAAATCTTAATAAAAACCACCTGCTCGGTACATTTTATGTTCAACTCTGTTAAACTTTCCTAGTTCAAAATATCCAGTGCTATCTGGAACAGGAGGATAATTGCTTTTCTCTAAATTTGCTGAGCTTTGTTAAATGAGTTCTTTCCTTAAGGAGTAAAAATGTGAATTTATATGCTTTAGCCTCAAATTTTGGAAAATCACCTTTCAGCTGTTCAAGTTGGTAGGCTGATAAAAACATCTGTCAGAAAATGAATTTCTGATCCTCCTCTTGAACCTGGTCTGCTTCTCTCCATGCTCATGGCCTGTGTTTCAGGAATGAGGAGCTGGGGGAATGAGCACCAGGGAAGTGTGGGGTGTAAATGGCTCTAGGTCTAGCTCAACACACCCCAGGAGAGCTCTTTAAGCTTCAGGTTGCCTGGACTCCTTTAAGTCAGACAAGAAGCAATGTTTATACATCCCTCAGCAAAAGGAAAGGGCTGGTGTGGGCCAGAGGTAATTAATATCAGCAGTTAAACCAGCTGTTCATTAAGAAAAAAAAAAAGGATCATTAGAAGTAATTGCTTAGCTTTCCACTTTTGTGATTCCAAAATTCTCAGGCTGTGGTATTCCTGTCTGTTGAATATTAGATTAGTATCTCCCAAGACAAAACAAAAGAAAAACCACTCATCTTCTCTGGGCTACTTTGCAAAGTTTCTTGCAGGCTTTGTTTAGCTGTGACAGAGGTTCCCAGCAGTCTCAGTCCTAAGGACATAGATGTAGTGCCTGTCTCTTTTTGGGGTGTCTGAGCTTTCATCCCAGAGCCCCAGCCAGCTCCTCCCTGTGGCTCCCCTGCTCTCCAGTTCATTTGCCAGGGGAGGCACTGAAGGACACTTCTTGTTTTCAGTGAACACAGCCATTTGCAGGAGTTTTTGAACCTCTTTTTGCTTTATCAAAAAAAACAAACCCCAGGCACAAGGGCAACTTCTAAAACCTTATTTTAGGACAAGGAAAGGGGTCGTGACCCCGAGGCTCTGCTGTTTAAATCAGCAGAACTTCTCTGGAGTGTACGTAGGATTTAGGAAAGGGCACAGGCTCTGCTGGTTGTGTCACAAATTTTCCAGAGTGCTTTTTCTGAACAAGCCAGAAAAAGATTTGCCTGAAGGGACACACGAACATGGGGCATGTGAATAACTTTTTAACAGAAAAGTTCTGGGGTTTCTAAGGGACAAAAGGACTAACATGTGGGCACCAGAAGAGGCTGCAGCAGGGAAGGTGGCACGAGGCTGGCTTCTGTGCACCCTCAGTGGGATGTGCAGGGCTGGGGGGAAATTGGAAGATCTGAGACCATTTGAAATTTGCTGCCAGAGCTCAGAGTCTCAGGCACTGCAGTCCCTGTGCCAAGCTGGAAACGTGGGACTCAGCCTGGAAATAAGAAGAGGACAAGTCTCCCATAGTTTCCTTTAGATGGCCTGAGAGAGGAGATAGAGGAGGTCTTCTCCCTGATCAAGGATTTCTCATTCAAGTCTTTTGGGAAGAAATGGAGTAAATTTATCTTTAATTACACTAAACAGTTTATAATCAATATTGTTCTTCTTTGCTGCCTTTGTGCAAATGTTCAGGTCTTCGACTCTTTTGAGGATGGACTGTGAGGGCATTACTAGTTCTAGTGAAAAAAAAAAAAAAGATTGTAAATAAATCTCTACACATAAAAGCCCCAGGCCTCTCCGGACACATACTTTTAAATCTATTTATTCACCTTTTCCCCTCTGTTTTCATATTTAGATAGGGATAGCTGTGGTGTAAAACAGAGCTATATATTTTTGTCTGTTAGGACATGAGAAAGGGCACAGTGCTCTCTGTCTCAGCAGCTGTTCTGAGGCCAGTGTGCTAACTGTATTTATTTATTAGTGGATTGTTTTGGTTAGACTATTTTTTCCCCTGGTGTGTATGCTGCTGCAATTGGTGGACATGCTTTCCTCTTCTTACATCAACAAAGAAATTGGCCCAAAATAATTTCATGGATTACTCCCTTTTGGCCTCTGAATTGTCCAGGTACAGATTTTTTCCTACATGTTTCTTCCCCATCATCTAGCCCTGAATGCATTCTCTTGGCATGTGAAATAGCAGGAATATATGTCTGTGTTTTCTGAGGACACGAGCCATAACCCTCAGAAATAATTTACTTCTTCTCTAACCCATTGAAGCCATTGAAGAAATTAAATCTGGATGAATGATGAAAATATATTCCAGTTAAAGAACAACTGTAGATTCTTTTTGACAGCAACTGTAGTTTCTAATGCTTCCTTAATTTTCACTTACACATATCTGAAGTTGTGATTAATCCAATGAAATATTCAAAATTGCCCAAGTAAATCTGACTTTCCTAAACAGGGTTTATCTTAAAGTCTCATAAAGCACTCTGACAATCAGATCTAAACTTTCTTTTGTGATGCAGATAAGCATCACATATGCAATCTTCATGTCTCCAGTTTCCAGGAGTTCTGGAG